AATAGGTACACATTCCACAGACAGAATGCGGGCCATCTCTGAAGAGGGAGAGAGAGGGGTGGCCGCGAGGCGCCATGTTGCTGGTTTTTATGGGCTTCGTGGCTTCATATGCTAATAAGTGGAAGGACCAGTCTAAGGGGAAGGGGCTGGGATTCCCAGGAAGTTGGCCATTTCCCACCCGTTGACCTTTTGTGGCTAGCCTCGGGACCGCCATGGTGCCTGTGGGCATGTTATTCACCATGTTAATATATTACAGTGGGCATATAATGAAGCTCAAGATCTGCTAGAAGTTAAATCTCTCATCATCCTGGGCCTCAAGGCCTACAGGAGGTTGAATCTTCCACCATTTTGATGTTAACTGCTGTGGCATTCCTTGAGTGGCTGTGTCCTGCCCCCTTCCTGTCTCACTTGCATGTTACTAAGTGAAAGAATCCAGTCCGAGGAGGCTGCACACAGTAGGACCCTATTTACGGCAATTATGGAAAAGGCAAAACTATACACATGAGCAGATCATGGGGTGGGGGTGGGGGGGTTGAAGTGTTCCATGTGAAACTTTAGGTTGGTGTCACTATAAGTATGTCCAACCCCACACCTTTGCACAGCCCAAAGGTCAATCATAATCTATTCAAATTTAGCGGTTTAGGGTGTAGCAGCATCGCAGGGTGGAACATACAATGTGACAGAATCTAACTGTATTAGAAATGGGTGGAAAAACTCACAGTCAGTGGTGGGGCAAAGGGTGCTGACCTAAGTGAACTTTGGAAATGCACAGAACAGTTCTGCGAAGGCAGAATGGACCACTGTTAACCTGTGGGCTTTGTATTATACAGTTCTTTCTGGGCTGTAGTAGCTAACAATTCTGAAACCACTGTGAATGGAACCTGGAAAAGAGAAACGAGTTGATAAAGGGCAGGTGGTGGGGGGCAGGTGGTGGGGGACAGGCTCCTCGCTGTGGGAATGGGAAGTCACAGATGAGCAAGGGGAGAGCCTTGGCCCTCATACTCCTGGATCTGAGTTTCCTAGGTGGATGGTGTGGGGAGTGGACTGGCCAGGGGAAGGCACAGCTCTTTACCCTGGGAAGGCCCTGCAGATGGAGGAACCTCACACCCCTTTCTTCCCCCCATACCTGCTGGAAACACCCAGACCTGTGAAATCAGCCAGTGCAGCTTTTCAGACATTCTCACCCAGAGGCAGCTAAGGGAACATGAGAGTCTTGACCACCGCCAAGCTGTCCCAGAATCCAGGCTCTGGAGGGTGGAGCCAGGACAGGATACCTTGATCTGTGACCAGCAGGTCAGAGCAAGGAAGAAGACCAGTTCTGAGGGCAAGGGTCTCCTGAAGACTGTGAGCCTGGGGCCCTGATGGATCCATTCCCTATGGGAACCTGGGTGGGGCCTGCAGTGGTTCTGTTTTCCACCTGAGTCCCTTGGATGAAGCCAGGGCAGAACTGGACTCAGGGATTTCCTGGTGGTGTTTCAAACTCTGACAAAGTGGCTTTATAAAGGAACAGGAGATTGAAGCTGATCACCTGACAGCCAATCCTCTCTGGTCTGAGCTGCTTCCATCAGGACCACAGTCCCCTGCATGGAGTCTGCTGTAACCCACCTGCCCCCACCTAGGCTCTCCCTTTCCTCCCTGGACCCCACTCCCAGGCCAGATGCACCTGTCTAGCCACTGCAACCCCCTCTCACCTTGGGGATAACATGTCAGCTGTAACTCACCAGCCCCAACCTGGCCTCTCCTCTTCTTCCCTGGACCCCTCTCCCAGCCCAGATACATCTTTCTAACCACTTTATCCCCTTCTCACCTTGAGGCTGACAGGCCCCTCACAGGGCTATGATCCTGCCACTCCCCACACCCCAGGAGGCAGCCCCACCTTCCCTGGTTGCTGAGCTGAGACACCTGGGGCTTCCCAACCCCCCACTTCCCTAGTGCCCTGGTGACTGTCAGCTCTTCCTCCCAAAATCCCAGGTGGTGTTTAGCAGAAATTGACAACCAATCTAAAACTCATGGGGAAAAGGCAAGGAGCTCAGACTAGACCAAGGAATCCTGAAAAAGAAGAACAAATTTGGAGGTATGGAAAACCAGGCAGAATCCCATAGTTGGTATAAAGCCACTTTAAGCTGAAGATAACTGAGATTTAATAGATGCAGAAAAAAGCCTTCTTGAGGGCTGTGCAAGGCTGACCCTGTGGGAGGCCTGGTGAGGTGGAGCCCTTGCAGGCCTCAGGCCCAGTATTTCTGCTGCAGGGAGGGGAGGAGACTCCAAAAGCACAGGCAAAGGTGATGGGGTGTGGTGCTGCCAAGGACCCCAGGTCTGGGTGCCACCTGGTTTGTTATCTCTCTTAGAAAGCTAAAAGGTTGCGAGGCTGAAGGCCCTTCTGTCAGCCCCATGGATGTAGAGAATTGAAACTTCCCACGGTGCTCTCTACACTGCTCAGGGAGCTGTTGAATTGCCCAGCAGCATAGTCAGCTTAGCAACTGGCAATAGGGGCTTCACAGGCCCAGGCTGGCCTGAGCTGGAGGACCATGAATGCCTGCCCAGATGGTCAGAAGTCAACGGCTATCCTGCCTGACTTGACTATCCCTTGATGCCCACTCAGATGGGACAAAAGATCCAGCCAGTCCCAGGAGGGACCCATCAACAAGCACAAAGGGAGCACCTGGGGGCTGGCAGGTCTCTCCACCCAGTCTTGTGTACATCCACACTTGTCTATTGAGTGTTCTGGGTGCCAGTACTGTGCTGGAACCTGGGGCTGCACAGGCAGAGTGGGGACAGCAATGCCTTGCCCAGGTGAGAGGGCAGAGGAAAACACTGTGTGACTTCTGAGGCCCCACAAGCCTTGACTGAGGTTGAGTTGGACTTGAAACAGTCAGTGACAAGAACAAGCATTTCATTCTTCTCTCAGAGCCCAGGACAGGGGAGCAGAAAAACAGTGGTAGAGTCAACTCCCTGACTCATGTGTGCCCCTGGGCTAATCCTACCCATCCTGGGGACCTCAGAGAGATGGAGAGGAAAGAGGAGGAAGTGGGCCAGTGATGCTTAAACCTAACTTTTCTAACCCTAATGCTCTAAACCTAACACCCTCACCTATACCCAGATCACCTAACCTATAACCCTATACCCTAACCCCAGGCCCCTAGACCCTTGGCCCTGACCCGTAAACTCAAAACACTGACACTTACCCTCAATCTGACCCTCCAACCCTGACTCTACAATCCCTACAATAACCCTAAATGCCGACACTGGCCCTGACCCAGGACTACACACTAGCCTTAGTCTAGCCCTGACTCATACCCATACCTTACCCTAACCCTAAATTTGACCCATACCCCTTAACCATAACAGGTTTAAAAAAAAAATAAAGGATCGTGTACTACAAGCGTATCTACACCAGAAACCCAGGTTTTTCAACATATTAAAACCAAGCAATGTAATATACCATAGTCACTATGTGACATAAAAACACATGGTTATGTCAGTTGATACAGAAAAAACTTTACCCAAAATCCAGTGCTGTTTCATATTCATAAACACTCAAGACAGTAAAAGGAAATTTGTTCAACATGATAAAATGCATTATGCAAAACCCGTAGCAAACTTCATGCTCAGTGCTGAAGAACTGAAAGGTTTACTCCTGAAATCAAGAACAAGGCCATGATGCTGGCTTTCCCCGCTGTTACTCAGTATTGCACTGGAATATCTGCACTGAGCAATGAGGAAAGAAGGAAGATGCAACCACATGTGAAAGGAAAAAGTAAAACTGCTTCTATTCAAAGACACAATTCACATCATCCTATATATAGACCCTCCTAAAGAATCAACTGAAGACTATTTGAGCTGCTAAACTAATTCAGCAAAAGAGTAGAACAAAACATCAATC